GTTGGGCCGCGGGGGGGCCGGGGCCCCTGGGCCCCCTCTGGCACCGACCCCGCCGCCCCTGCTCGTGGCCCTGTTACTGCAGGGCTCCGGGAGCGCTGCCGGTGCCCGGCTCCAGCCGAGCCCCCAGGAAAAGAACCCTCGGGAGTGGGAATTTCCCGATTTCCTTCGGTTTCCCGCGGCTGCTCGCGCCTCCTATCCCGCTCCGCTGCTCAGCGTTCGGGAAGGGGCCGCGGCGGGACTCTGAAGCCCCTTTCAGGCTGTGAGGGCAGCCGCAGGCACGGCACGGCTGAGACAGCAAGCGCTAGTTTCCAGTAATACATCTTCTGATGTGATGTGACCACATAACTTCTTCCTAAAGTGACATACTGCTCATAGCAAATTAATTTAGTTATATGATGCTCCTAAATAGAGCGGAGCTCTCTGTTAAGCCACTTATTCCTTACCGGGTATCACGAGAATTGTTGGGGTTTTTTTGCTTTTAACATTGAGCACTACATAGGAAAGCACACAAAAGATATTTCTCACAGCACTTACATACCACGAGCTAAGAGATGTGAGAAGGGAGAGAACCATCACATGCTACTTTGGATGATCTCTTAATAAATTTTGAAACATTTTGCACGTATATTTTGTTTGGTGTATGTTGCCTCACAGAGTTATTTGGTTTTCTTCTAGCAGGCTGTGCGGAGCCCCAGGTGCGATGGCCATGCAGGTGCAGCTGGAAGCAAATGCAGATACATCAGCAGAGGAAGAGAGCTTTGGACCACAGCTCATATCCAGGTTAGAGGTAGGTAAGAGTTAGCTCTAGAGAACGTCTTCAAGCAATCTGCTAGTCCTTTTCCTTACACACAAGTTGTACCTGAAAATTGTGTTGCTAAATTATTGTGTTCTGTCAGAAAAACCCAAACCAGAAAACCCACTGTGTTAACAGTTATGTCTTTTTATTATGTTGCTTTGCTACATACTGTCTACTGACATGTACTGGTCACCTGCAGCATCTATTAAACCAGAGAATTATATTCTCTGCCTGTTCTGTGCCACCTATACAGTCAATACTTATGCAAACACTACACTGCTAGAAGGATTTTATTTTTTATGGTTCTTTATGTGTAAGTGAATAGGGAGGTAACATTTAGTGTGCTGATGTGGAGTAACAGTTTGATCCAGATCTGCTGAAGCCAGTTGAAGGTATTCAGTGGAAATTAGGTAAAGGTATTTTTGTCTTAGCGTGTCCTTTTTTCTCCCCTCCCTTTCAGCAATGCGGTATAAATGCAAATGATGTGAAGAAATTGGAAGAAGCTGGATTTCACACAGTTGAGGCTGTTGCTTATGCACCAAAGAAAGAGCTACTAAATATTAAAGGCATCAGCGAAGCCAAAGCTGACAAAATCTTGGTAAGGGTATATGGAAAAGCTTTAACCCAAGGTATTCAAGAAGTTTTATTTCTATTGGCTTCAGATGTTCTGGTGCTTTTGAAAGGTCTCTGTTAATGATATACTACTATGAAGGGTAGTAAAGATGGTTAGAGGTGTGACATGACTTTTGACAATAAGAGACACAACCCACTAGGACCAGCTTCAAGAAGTGAAGAGGGAGGGACTATTAGAAAGGTCTCTAAATATCGTGGAAGGTATGGAGTGCGTGCCTGAGGTGTTACTTCTAGCTCAGTATTTCTCATGATAAGAAGGCTCATGATAAGCCTAAAGCAAAGAAAGTACTTTTTCCATACAGGTTGTAATTAAGTTATGGAACTCCTTGTCCCAAGGCACAGTGACCATCTGTAGCATAAATGGATTTAAAAGGGCTGAGTGCCATGTTTGTGGGGTTGCTGTGGGCAGTTGTCAAGGCAGAAGATGCCGCATTGTAGCGATGGACTGACCCAGTACAGCTCTTCTGTCAGGTTGTTCCTGAGCGTGTTAACTCTTACCCTGGGCAGGTATTCGCTGGGAGACCTGGGCTTTGCTCTTGGGGACAGAGTGAAGCCTGAGCTGGAACCTCACAGCATCTTCTAGTCCAGAATGTGGAGTTTCTGCCAAACTGGTTCATTTATAGAAATCTGACTTAGCACAGCATTTAACTGCAATACTTTTCTTTTTTTGCGTATTTATTCACTGTTAGGAAGACAGCATTCCTAACAGGCTGTATGTGCATCCCAAGTATTTCAAGGTTCACAGGGACAGAACTGAACTGAAGGGGGGGAGGCAAAGGGTGGGGGGAAGGATTTCGATAAAATACACAAAGATCACAATTTCAGTTCTTTTCAGAGATACCATCTTATATATAGTCTATAAAGTAAAATGTGTGCATCACATTATATAGGTGCTTCTCCATTTCACTAGAAAATTAGAGTATTAATTACTAGAGGGGGTAAGTGAATGGGATGAACATTCTTGCACTGCTTAGTTTGGTTTTCTTTAGGCTGAAGCAGCTAAACTGGTTCCGATGGGTTTCACCACAGCAACAGAATTCCACCAGCGGAGGTCAGAGATCATCCAGATCACCACTGGGTCCAAAGAACTTGATAAACTTCTTCAAGGTGGTAATTTTATTTCTCTTCATATTGATCATCCTTCATTATCTGCTTTTTCTTCCTCTGAGCATGATTCTTGGACAAAACCACATAAGACACATAAGTTCTGGTTGAATAAAAATCTCAAGTACTGCTCTCTTCTATCACAACTAATTTTCTTTTAAAAGCTGTAGAAATAGCTTTAAAACCTTTTAGTCATATACAATACCCAGACCTGTTTATATTGGCTGTTTCTAGTTTAGTCTATGCCCTATTTGAAGAAAACAAAACCAGCCATTATCTTCTCCCCGTTCCTACTTGTGATCAAAAAATCAAAAGAAGTCATTTCAGCCTTTCAGCATCTTCAAAAATCCGCTTACCTAACCTTCTTACCTGCAACATGAGCAACCCTCAGTAGGAAAAGCAGGTTTTCCAATTAGGGGTTTGAAACTTTTAACCAAAGTAAGTGCTTAACTGAGTCTCTGTGAATGTAATACCTTTATGCGTGGTCTTTGGTTAAAGTCTGTCCTTTTAAAATTATCTTTTCGTTGTTATTGTTGTTATTATTTTTCCTTCAGGAGGAATAGAAACAGGGTCCATAACAGAGTTGTTTGGGGAGTTTCGTACTGGAAAAACACAGTTGTGTCATACCCTGGCAGTCACCTGTCAAGTGAGTAGTTCACTTTATTAAAAACAAGTATTCAGACAACACAGCTTCTGGATATTTGCTAATTTGTGCACTTTTCTCAACCAATACAAATGTGATGCATATAAACAGCTGCGAAGAACACGAGTATCTGGAGCACCCTTGGCTGTCCTTGCAGCTTTCTAGGATCTTTTGTTTCATGCTGACTCTGCCTACTAGGATTTAGCAGCAATTAAGTTTGTGATGTTTTTTGCCTGCGTTTGACGTCGTTTGTAGGTTGGGGTTTTTTTCCTCAGTATTCTGACATGAAAATTTAACACAGATTAGCCTTGTAGCATAATTCTAGGTCTTAAATGCAGAGAAGTGTTTGGTCTCTCTTCAGGTGCTCTAGATTGCATAGAACCTGCCTCATCATCAAGAGTGTTGAAAAGAGAGATGAAACTGTTGGGTTCGATGACTTTCTTTGACTAGCTGCTTTTTTTCCCTAACACATAAAAGAAGCTTACTTCTACTTCTGTAAAAGCTTTCAGCTCACTTTTGCTATCACACAGTAGATCAGTTTGGAGGAACCCTTTTTTTTGTAATCTTAGTTTAAACAAATAATAGTGTTTGTTACTTTCTAAAGGTTGCTATTTCATAAAATATTAGAGGCTTTGGGCTTCATCTGATCATTTAGTTAACAGCCTTATGCACCTAAACTTACGAGCTCAAAATTAAGCACCTGTCCTCTTAATGTCAGTATCAGAGGTTGAACACAAGAATCTTTCCTCTCATTTTTCCCAGATAAATGTGAATTTAATCATGACAGCTTGGTTTGTTATTGGTATGTTCAGGGCATGAGGCAATAACTGGATTATTTGTTGATACTTTATTTCATGTTTGTTCGTTTGCTTTTCCTTTAGCTTCCCATTGACAGAGGTGGTGGTGAAGGAAAAGCCATGTATATTGACACAGAAGGGACCTTCCGTCCGGAACGGCTTCTTGCAGTGGCAGAAAGGTCTGGACTTGGGACTGGAAGTGAACTGGCATTAGTTGAAGGAAGGAATACATTTACTCATGGGACAGCTTAGTAAGGCTGACTCTGTAAATCAGCCCATCTGTTTAAATTCGTGGGACTTGCAGTAAGAACTGCCACTAAAAAACCAACCAACCAGAAGCCTTTCTGCCTGTTAAACCACGTTATTAACTGTATTTTATAAACAGTTTCTAGTTTTATTTAGTTGTGACAGCAGCTAACATCCTTGTCCCCTGGAATATGATCTCTTCACTTCTTACTAGTGTCTCCTTCAAATGCAGTTTACTGTTAGTGAAATACATTCAAAGTTTTTTCTTAAATTCTGCCAATAGCATTATCCTGAAACAGACATTGTTTTGTAAAAATGTTATTGCCATAGAAGCTGGAAAATTTTTGTTAGGAAATATGAGAGCATCCACTGACCAGCTGAAAAGCTGTTTTCTTATCTCCTGCCTCTATCTCAGAATGTTCTGACGTGTCTTTTATACAAGCTGGAAAGTAAAACTTTTTTACCCAAATAAAAATTCTGCTGTCTTCACAGAGATTAAAAGCCTGAAGTCCTGGTTTTGTATGTTAGAACAAGTTGCTACTTCTGTCCTTGTGATTCTTTAGACTTTCTCAAAATTAGAACTGCTTCTATGGGGCTTAATTCTCTGTGATCATTGTTTCAATTAAACGTCAAAGTATATAAGCAGTTTTAGTGAACGTGGGTTGAATTATTTCTTTATCTGACGCGGTGCTCAGCAATTGCTGAAACTGTGTCAGCCTGAACAGGAGAGTAGGCCAGCGCTTTGGGAAGGGCTGTGATATGTGTCATACCTGACAGAGACAGAGGAGGAGTTTTAAGGATGCAGAATGCAGCTGAGCAGCCCGCTGCAGCAGGGTCAGACCAGCTGATCCACAGAGATCCCTTTGGCTTCAGAGAGTCTGGAATGTGGTGAAATATGCTGTCGTGTGAAATGAAAAATGAGAACAAATCATGTATGTTCTCTCTCATTGGAAAAAAAATATTGCTTCATTTCAGATCCAAGCAGGATAAACAGCTGGTTCTCCAAATTCTAAGGCATTTCTCAAGGTGCCATATAAACAATTTAAGTGCAAGGGGTTGAATGGAAGTGTCTTTTATTCTGGTAGTAAAGCACTGACAGAGGTAATGCAGGTGGAAGGCTGTTTATCACTGTTTTTTATTAGCAATACACTGCTTTCAGAGTATTCTCTTCCAGAGTGGTGGCTTTCCTTGCCTGCGTTTCTATTTTGAGGGAGATGTCTGGGGTTCTACTTTACTGTTATTCCTAGGTGGGGAAATATTCTTTCAAAATGGTTTCCAGTCATTCTGGAAATTTTCATCAGTCATTTTCATCACCAAGTTGTGTTGTGTTTTTTGCTGTCTGTTTTTAACTCTGAGACTCCCCCAGGAATGTGAGGTTTTATTCTAGTCTTTAGATAAACCTGCTAGGTAACTCCTGTTGATGAAGCTGTCGCTTAATTTTTTTTTTTTTCCACTGATTTCTCCAGGTACGGCTTGTCTGGCAGTGATGTCCTGGATAACGTGGCATATGCTCGAGGCTTTAACACAGATCACCAGACCCAGCTCCTGTATCAGGCCTCTGCTATGATGGCTGAGTCACGGTAATGGGCCTGATCAAGACAGGGGGATTGCTGTGCCGTCACAGAACCGTGTCAGAAAGCTGCCTGTGGGTGATGAGCCAGTGAAGGAGAAGTATAGATGATGTAACTATGAAAGGCCAAAGTAATTGTTTACTTCAGAAGTTACCTTTTTTGAAACAGACTGGCTTTCTTCAGCACTTATCTCCATTGGGTCAGGTTTTCTTGCCTTTGAATTTGTTTATGCTTTGGCATATCTGAGTGTGAATCTCAGCGTAGCGGCCCTGAGTGTCGGTTAATCCTCTCGCTGCTGGAATGTTGGATGGCAGCGACTGGCTTGGATGGTGGCAACTGATGTTCCTTCACAAAGAGCAAGTGCCAGCCCGAGGAGCAGTTCTAAAGATCAGTTTATAATTGCTTTCAGAAATGGAGTGTTGCTTCAGGGCTTGCCAAGCACCGGAGGAACCTGTGCAGAGTTTTAGTTTGGAACTAGGATTTACAGCCCCTGCAGAGGGAAGGAGGTGGTGGTGTGAGGTGTGTAGGAGCCTGTCTGCAGAATGTCTGTGGTGTCAAAATGTGAAATTCTAGGCTGGTTTCTAAGAGTACTATAAATCTAATTTTTTAATCATGCAGCAACTTTCTTTGGGTTTACTGGGTTTTATTGCACAGTTAGTAATCTGAACATTACAGATCAAGTCAGTGTTGTTAAAAATCATAATTTTGCTAACTGGCATGTTGGGGGAGCTTACATCCACATCTGTGTGCAGCCTCATAGTTTGCTGGGCACTGGCACGCTCCAGCGGAGGCTTGTTGGTGCCTGGAAATGTTGGTGAGACCCTTGTGCTTCTTCTCCCAGATACGCGCTGCTGATAGTGGACAGTGCCACGGCCCTTTATCGGACAGATTACTCGGGACGAGGAGAGCTCTCGGCGAGACAGATGCACCTGGCCAGGTTCCTGCGTATGCTGCTTCGACTTGCTGATGAGGTGAACACTGGGCTTTGTTTAAGGACGGGTGATCCCTTTTCTTTCTCTTGTAGAGCTCAGCAATTCTGTAAAAATGCCTTTCTGCCCGCTCAGTATCTCCTTCCATTTTTTTTTTGTGAGGCATGGTACAGTGCTTATGGGCAGCAGAAGTGTGTGTGTGTCGCTTTTTTTTTTTCTTCTTTTTCCTTCGTTCAGATTGTGGACAATAAATTGATTTTGACTTGTTGCTTTTCTCCTTACAGTTTGGTGTGGCGGTTGTGATCACTAACCAAGTGGTAGCACAAGTAGATGGAGCAGCCATGTTTGCTGCAGATCCTAAAAAACCTATTGGGGGAAATATCATAGCGCATGCTTCCACCACGAGGTGAGAGAGCGGGCTGGTATTCTGGTAGCCTTGCTTTGGAGGATTTTGTGAAACTAGCTAAGTACCTCTGAATTCTGGGTTTCTATGTGGTTTGGCAATGGCAAGTCCAGCTTCTCAACAGTTAGGTGCCATACTAAGCACGTGTTCATCTGTATAAGAACGAACACACCTTTTCAGAAGTTCTTACAGCTCAGCAGTGTGCTGTATCCACATGCTAACACAGTGTTTTAATGATTATGATAATGATTTACTGAAAACAGACTATACACCCTTACCTATTGTGTTTCCTTCTCCCTCTTAGACTGTATCTGCGGAAAGGCCGAGGTGAAACCAGAATATGTAAAATCTATGACTCTCCTTGCCTTCCTGAGGCTGAAGCAATGTTTGCTATTAATGCTGACGGAGTGGGAGATGCTAAGGACTGAGGACTCTGTTTCATGTCCCGCGTACCCCAAGATAGCTATCGGTAAAAGGCTCCTTTTTTGTGGCACCTTACAGATGCTTTCCCAGCGCAGCTGCTGTTGGGATGCTGGCAGAGGAATCTGTTACTTCAGCGTTCGAGTCCCTTGAGTGAATACACTCCGAGGCATGTCTGGGGGTGTTGCTGGGTAGAGAGAGCTGCCCTTTGGGCTTTGGTCACATCTTAGGTTAATGTGGTGTCTTGAGAATGTTTTTAGGGGACCACAGCATTTGTATTTTCCTCAGGGCTGTTGCTCCAGCTGGGTTCTACCACTGGACACAGCGCAGTAGAATCTGGGAGTATGTGGCCATAGTTCATAACTCGCTGAATTTGATGTAGCACTGATGGGTTTGTCAAATAAGAAAAGTGGTGAGTTAAATACTTAGTGGATGCTTTAATTATAAAATAAACCAGAATGGTATTCCACAAAAAGAATTTGTGGATATTGTTAGGATTTATGATCAATCCATATTCTTTATGATAATTTTGTTTTGGATGCTGCAACATGCTGGGTTTTGGGAACTGTTAATTTACATTTAAATTACATTTTTTTGTATTTCATTAATTCTCTGTGGAAATCTGCTTTTAATAAAAAGAACCATGACAATGTTGGTGGCATTACAGGTTTCTGGGATTCAGCCAAGCACTAATTCAGACTGAGACATTTTTTCATCTGCAGGGAGGAAGAAGACGCCTAACTCTTCAATGAATCTCAGCCTGGATCATTTCTTTTCCTCCTGTTGCTAACAGAATGCATCATCTTGATTTGAGATGTGTGGTGCAACTGTGCTCTCAGTGCCCTGTAGATGTCTGTTAAGAGTTTTTGAGGTTAAAAAGGCTCTTCTATATTATGCAGTATTTGAATATAATAATGCTATTGTGAACTACTCTAAACTCAGAGAGAATAATATCATAGTGGTGGTCGGCAACAAAAACTATTTTCCTCCTTTTTCTCTGGCAGATTTTCTCTAGGGCAAATAGTAAAGAATACATACAGTGGGATCCAACTGTCTCTTACAGGCTAGCAGGTGTAGGCTACGTTTTTTCAGGTACTTTTAAATACTTGTGCTGTGTTGACATCTCCATCTGATGAGGGCAAGCTGTCTGCTGGCTCCTTTGTAGCTGAATCCTTTGGTTCTTAAACTCGGCGTGGCCACTGAGCCGCTGCTTGTTCAGGTGTGCCACTGCAACAGGCCCTTGCTGCCACCAGTGCCTGCAGCAGCGCTTCAGAACCCAAAACTCGTATAAAAATATTAACTAGGGCATTAAATTGGGGTTGAACTCATCAGTGAAGGAGCTGAGGTGTTCAGTTTTTTCATAATGAGCTCAGCACACGCTTGCTACTCGCAGTTAGGTGGAGGTGGCACCAGGGCCTGTGACTGCTGCTGAGTCAGAAAAGTCCAGATGGTCCCAGAAGTTCTGGTTTTGAGGGTCCAGACCTAAAGTTGGTGACTTGGTTCAGGTGCATAAGGGGAAAAACATTGGGCTCACGGGGACTGGGGGCGGATTTCTTCCAGAATTCTCAACCAAGAGAAGCCCAGGAGGGGCTGGGGAAAGCGGCTGAGGAGTAGGAGCAAGCGAAGGGAGGAAAAACAGGAGGGTAGGAAAAAGCGAAGGTTGGACAAATGGGAGGAGGGGGCCAGGGGCCTCGCTGGGCAGAGGGGCTGCAGGAAGAAGTACGAGATGGGGTGACATGGAGAACTGGGGGAAGGGAGCAGGTCGGGAAGTGACTGGGCTGGAGCCTGGGGAGGGTGGCTGAGGGGGTGCACCCCTCTGCCCCTCCCTCTCGTGTAGCTGTGTGCCACACTTTTCCAGATGCCCCCTGTATAAAATAAAGCATGAAAACCTCATTTCAACTTGCAGATGAGGTTTAAACGGTCTGCAGATGAATGTTTAATGTGCTTAAATATTCCACGAGGGTCTGAAGGCTAAAAGCAGCAGCACTTCCCCCTGTGCTATCTCTCTGCTCAGCAGCTTTTGGGGTCAGGAGCGGGGGATGTGGAGTGCTCCTGGCCGGGAGAGCAACACTTGCTGCTTGAATTGTGCTTCTGAGTGCTTCTCTGAACTTACACAAACGTGATGGGTTATTTCACATGAAGGTTTGAAAGAAGCAGCTTCCAGCTTTAGTGTCATTCCCACCAACCCTGCTGGGGGGCGTTGGGTTGGTTTTTAGGCCCCTCTTTGTAAACATACATGTATCCTGTGGTATTTAGGTATAAATGGCGCTCCAGAACAGTTTAGTTTATTGCATTTGGCAGCACTGAAATTTAAAATGTCATGTTTATTTTCTGCTCTGTTATTTCCCTTCAGTGTCCTTCATGGAGGGGGGTTGTGCCATGCCTGTGTGGTAGTTCTCTGCTCTTTGTATCTTAGAATTATACAGCATTAATGTACAATCTAATAGGATTTTTTTTTCTCCTTTTCAAAGTCTACTTGGGTCTTTGAACAACTAAAATTGACATCTGAAGGCCTCTCTGTTCATGTAGTTCTCGGCATGGAAATCGATTTTTCTAATAGCCTTATAAGTGCTTCTCTTAACTGAAGGGTTTGTAGCTTTGATTGGGAGAGAAACAGCAAAGAAACTAGGAAGTAAGTGTTCGTATGTGGTTTTGTTTCTTTTAAACACAAGAACCTTGTTTGAAAGATCTTTCTCAAATCATCTTAGGACGTCCCTGGAGCAGCTGCCGAGGCAAGTATTTCCATAGGGGGCTTAAGTTGCTTGTGATACAGTGCTCTGAAATGCTAATTAAATAAGTTTATTGTCAATGCTGCTTTAACCTCGAGATATAATTAATATTCCTTTAGTAAACATTTTTCCTGTTCTTTCCTTGAAATAATTCTCTCTGTGTTTCCCCAGAAGCTCCTCTCAAGTCAGTGGAATATGATTAGAAATTACACTCACTTTTAAAGGGG